GGGGAGAGATACCAGGTGTGGAGGATGAGGGGGGAGAGATACCAGGTGTGGAGGATGAGGGGGGAGAGATACCAGGTGTGTAGGATGAGAGGGGGAGAGATACCAGGTGTGTAGGATGAGGGGGGAGAGATACCAGGTGTGGAGGATGAGGGGGGAGAGATACCAGGTGTGGAGGATGAGGGGGGAGAGATACCAGGTGTGTAGGATGAGAGGGGGAGAGATACCAGGTGTGGAGGATGAGGGGGGAGAGATACCAGGTGTGTAGGATGAGAGGGGGAGAGATACCAGGTGTGGAGGATGAGGGGGGAGAGATACCAGGTGTGGAGGATGAGGGGGAGAGATACCAGGTGTGTAGGATGAGAGAGGGAGAGATACCAGGTGTGTAGGATGAGAGGGGGAGAGATACCAGGTGTGTAGGATAGGGGGGAGAGATACCAGGTGTGTAGGATGAGAGAGGGAGAGATACCAGGTGTGGAGGATGAGGGAGGAGAGATACCAGGTGTGGAGGATGAGGGGGGGAGAGATACCAGGTGTGTAGGATAGGGGGGAGAGATACCAGGTGTGTAGGATGAGGTGGAGAGATACCAGGTGTGTAGGATGAGGGAGGAGAGATACCAGGTGTGGAGGATGAGGGGGGAGAGATACCAGGTGTGGAGGATGAGGGGAGAGAGATACCAGGTGTGTAGGATGAGGGGGAGAGATACCAGGTGTGGAGGATGAGGAGGGAGAGATACCAGGTGTGTAGGATGAGGGGGGAGAGATACCAGGTGTGTAGGATAGGGGGGAGAGATACCAGGTGTGTAGGATGAGGGGGAGAGATACCAGGTGTGTAGGATAGGGGGGAGAGATACCAGGTGTGTAGGATGAGGGGGAGAGATACCAGGTGTGTAGGATGAGGGAGGAGAGATACCAGGTGTGGAGGATAGGGGGAGAGATACCAGGTGTGGAGGATAGGGGGAGAGATACCAGGTGTGGAGGATAGGGGGAGAGATACCAGGTGTGGAGGATAGGGGGAGAGATACCAGGTGTGGAGGATAGGAGGAGAGATACCAGGTGTGGAGGATAGGGGGAGAGATACCAGGTGTGGAGGATAGGAGGAGAGATACCAGGTGTGTACAGGAACAGACATAGCAGTTGTGTGTGGGAGAGAGAGGTGGTGTGGGGGGAGGGGGGGGGGAAAGGAAGTCACAAGGTCACCATCTGCTGGAAATAGTGATGTAGTCAGTGGATGGTGAGGGAGGTACTACGCTCCGTCTCCCACTATCACCCCCATGGAGCCGGTCGGCCGAGCGGACAGCACGCTGGACTCGTGATCCTGTGGTCCGATCCCAGGCGCCGGCGAGAAACAATGGCCAGAGTTTCAGCCTATGCCCCCCCTGTTACCTAGCAGTAAAATAGGTACCTGGGTGTTAGTCAGCTGTCACGGGCTGCTTCCTGGGGGTGGAGGCCTGGTCGAGGACCAGGCCGCGGGGACACTAAAGCCCCGAAATTATCTCAAGATAACCTCAAGATAACCACCACCACCCTTCGCTCTCTCTAACACATCAAGTAACTCGTAAAACTTTTGTTACATTCATCGAGTTATTTTCCTTCCAAATAACTCTTGCAAAAGCCTATTGGTGCAACGGTAAATAAACAACTGAGTGTTTGTAAACAAATCGAAAAATAAGCAATTAGGTTTTACAATTTCATTATTTCACTTGTAAGGAGAGCCGCGCCCCTGGCGGCCATTGTTGCAAACAAAATTTCAAGGGAATCAGGGGCCTGATTCACGAAGCAGTTACACAAGCACTTACGAACCTGGGGCTAGATTCACGAAGCAGTTACGCAAGCACTTACGAACCTGGGGCTAGATTCACGAAGCAGTTACGCAAGCACTTACGAACCTGGGGGCTAGATTCATGAAGCAGTTACGCAAGCACTTGCGAACCTGGGGCCAGATTCACGAAGCAGTTACACAAGCACTTACGAACCTGGGGGCTAGATTCACGAAGCAGTTACGCAAGGACTTACGAACCTGGGGGCTAGATTCACGAAGCAGTTACGTAAGCACTTATGAATCTGGGGCCAGATTCACGAAGCAGTTACGTAAGCACTTACGAACCTGTCCATCTTTCCTCAATCTTTGACGGCTTTGGTTACATTTATTAAAGAGTTTACAAGCATGAAAACTTGCCAATCAGCTGTTATTGTTATAAACAGCCTCCTGGTGCTTCGGAGCTCATTAACTGTTTAATAATTGTAAACAAAGCCGCCAAAGATTGAGAAAAGATGGGCAGGTTCGTAAGTGCTTGCGTAACTGCTTCGTGAATCTGGCCCCAGGGTAGTAAGTGCTTGCGTAACTGCTTCATGAATCTGGCCCCAGGGTCGTAAGTGCTTGCGTAACTGCTTCGTGAATCTGGCCCCAGGGTAGTAAGTGCTTGCGTAACTGCTTCATGAACCTGGCCCCTATTCCGGAGAAGAATTACCACACAAGACAAAAATTCAGCTTATGCTCCAGCTGTGAGAATAATAAGCTTGCTGTATGTCGCTATGCTGTGTGAGTTTCAAGGTTTTATAGAAACCTTTTGGTATTATAAGTCTCGTGAATGGGGGGTTTTTCATCCCCCAGCTAATTGAGACAGATGGCATTGTAGTGCAATCTTTCCACTGAACTTTTGCAATGGCTGCGTGTCGTAAGAACGAAGTCTGCGTGTTGTGGGTGGAGTCACTGACAGCAGAACAAGGCTGCTGAGCTCAGTCTTCCGTAGTGACAGACAATGATGACAGCACACAGGAGGAACTAGGCTAGACTGGCTGGCAGCAGCCAGCCAGCCAGACGGAGCACACTGGGATTCCCTGACAATCATGCAGCCTGTTCTCCTAAGGTTTTTCAAAACGTCAAGAAAGCGGTCAATTTAAAGTGGTCTACCCTAATCTACCAGAGGACCCAAAACAGAAAACGGGACAGTACGTCGCTTTCGTCAGCCGCTTCCATTTTCCTGTACAACCATTTTTAGACTTACTAACGCATATGAGCGAAAAGCGACGTTCTTTGTAAGAGGACTCATGACCTTGACGCATAGACACGCAGACGTCCTGTCTAATGGATGCGCTTTACAAGCCACAGTTCATTCACACTGCAAAACACTGCCACGTGTAACAGTGTAGCTACTACATTTAGGCTATTTTTAATAACATTTTCCAGTGCGTTTCCGAGCATCTTTTGTGTTCTATTTATTGTGAATAAACAAATTTGAGTCATGAATAGTACAGTCCACAAAATATAATGTACAATACCTTAAAATCATGCGCTGGACCCTCAATCATCTATATATGTATTGCGCGGTTTAAGTAAAGTGACTCCCATCATCTATATATGGGTTCATCTCCCGGACAGGCCCCCAAAAAGAGGGGTAGAAATAGCCTAAGCTACTCTATCCTTTTGAGATGTATTTCTTTATCTAAATAAACATACTTGAACTTGAACTTTATCATCTATATATGTATTGCGCGGTTTAGGTAAAGTTAGTCTCATCATCTATATATGCATTGCGCGGTTTAAGGGTTAATATGGGTTAATAAAATGGGTTAATGCAGGTCAGGACTTGGTAAGTGTCCAAGACCTAACAATATTGCCACTTTCCTGCCAACTTGTGTGTGTTTGGACTTTCTGTCACTTTATTGGCACTTATTCTCCACTTACAATACTTTAATATTCTGCCCATAGTGATGCTCTTTATCCCGGCATCACTGATTTAACCAGGTATGAGATACTAAGCCAGGTATCATATATTAAGTCTGGACTCATACGGGGAAAGATATCCCATATTTAACCAAGTCTAGTATATTTAATCACCACATTTAACCAGGCCTAAAACATTTAACCAGGCCTAAAACATTCAACCAGGTCGTATATATTTAACCTCCTATCACACGCATATAACCAAGTATCACATTCAGCTAGATAACACATGTTTAAACTAAGCTGTCATACACAACCAGGGGAAAACACCTTTGGGAAATACAATTCACATATACACCTTTCACAAACATGACTGCTTAATAAACAAATCGGTTTGTGGCATCCTGTCCCGGGGCCTAAGAAACCGGTTTCAGGCCTAAATCCCAACATAACAAAGGCAACAGCCTGAACCAACTCCAAAAGGTTCTATCCTCTCACCCGGCATCAGTATTATAAGATTTTTTGCTGTGGTAATTACATGAATGACCACATATAGAATCCATCTTGTTGTCGATTCTAAGAGATGAGGTGCAATAATCAGACTGTTAACCTAGATAGACAGACAGACAGACAGACACACACACACACACACACACACACACACACACACACACACACACACACACACACACACACACACACACACACAGGGATCCTACCTGTTGATTGACGGTTGAGAGGCGGGACCAAAGAGCCAGAGCTCAACCCCCGCAAGCACAATTAGGTGAGTACACACACAGACACACACACACACACACACACACACACACACACACACACACACACACACACACACACACACAGGGATCCTACCTGTTGATTGACGGTTGAGAGGCGGGACCAAAGAGCCAGAGCTCAACCCCCGCAAGCACAATTAGGTGAGTACACACACACACACACACACACACACACACACACACACACACACACACACACACACACACACACACACACACACACACACACACACACACACACACACACACACACCAGCAAACAAGAAGGGGTAAAAAAAATTACCATCTGTCTGTTAAACCATACAAAACAAACCATTATTAACTTATTAAATAAAAAAACAAAATATACACTTCAACATTAAAAAATTATATATATATATATATATTAACAATCAAGAGCCAATTAAATGCTACAACTTATTACAATATACAACACAAGAAACTCTAAGGTCACAGAAGGCTATTCATGCTAATAGAAAAATGCTGATGCAAGTATCGCAGAGAAGCAACAGAGGGCGGGGGAGCCACTAGGCACCTACCTGGTAAGCTGTGAGTTAGTGGGCGTGGGAAAATGGGCGTGAGTGACACGATTGGGCGTAGCGAAGTCACTGGTTGACGCCCATCTCTTGCTCAGCGCCCCGACTTGAGCCGTGCGCATGGGGGACGTATAGGGGGATGTGGGCGTGTGCCTGACGTATTGGGCGTGGGTGGTGAGGGCGTGGGGGGTGGGGGCGTGGGTTTGGGCTTGGGTTGGGGATGGGGAGGGCGCGGGACTAACGGAGGAGGAGCTGTGACCATCAGAATACAGGCTGGACGTGGATTGGTAGTGTGTTCCTCTCCTGGTGGTAAGAGGTCGGAGATCAGGAACGGCCCGTGCATATATACGCCCCCCCCGGTGTTTATAACCCCCCTTTACCTGTCTCTCTCTCTGTCTCTCTCTCTCTGTGTCTCTCTCTCTCTGTCTCTCTGTGTCTCTCTCTCTGTGTCTCTCTGTCTCTCTCTCTCTTACACGCTCTCTTACACTCTCCCACGCTCTCTCACACTCTCCCACGCTCTCTTACACTCTCTCACGCTCTCTTACACTCTCCCACGCTCTCTCACACTCTCCCACGCTCTCTTACACTCTCTCACGCTCTCTTACACTCTCCCACGCTCTCTTACACTCTCTCACACTCTCCCACGCTCTCTTACACTCTCCCACGCTCTCTTACATTCTCCCACGCTCTCTTACACTCTCTCACACTCTCCCACGCTCTCTTACACTCTCTCACGCTCTCTTACACTCTCCCACGCTCTCTTACACTCTCTCACACTCTCCCACGCTCTCTTACACTCTCTCACGCTCTCTTACACTCTCCCACGCTCTCTTACACTCTCCCACGCTCTCTTACACTCTCCCACGCTCTCTTACACTCTCCCACGCTCTCTTACACTCTCCCACACTCTCTTACACTCTCCCACGCTCTCTTACACTCCCCCACACTCTCTTACACTCTCTCAGTCACACACACAAAGAACACTCCCACAATCCCACACACACAAAGAACACTCCCACACACACACAGAACACTCCCACACACACAAAGAACACTCCCACACACACCCACACACACAAAGAACACTCCCACACACACACAAACAACACTCCCACACACACACCCACACACAAACAACACTCCCACACACACACACACACACAAACAACACTCCCACACACACCCACACACACTCAACACCCCCTCCCCCACTACCTCAGGTTCCAGCCCAGACTGTGGCCAATAGGGTGACTGGAAGCCCCACGTGGCTTCCTCAGATACAAATATAAACACAAGAATTGTTTACTATAAGTCAAAGCAAAATAATATATGGATCTGTTCCAAAAATATTTGTAACAGGGTGAAACTAATTGAAACATAAGATATTGTAGTATTTACGCTCAATAGGATAAATGAAATTAATGCTTATTACATAAAGTTTGAACTGATATTCACTATACGTATCGTGTCGCCTGAAGAGAAATTCTCATAAAATAGGAGAGTTTGGGCTGAAACCAAGAGAAAATGGGGAAAATGCTAGAGAATGGGCACTGCCGATTCAAGGGAGACCAGCATATTCTTTAGGTATACATGGACGAGGTCACTTATACATGGACGAGGTCACTTATACATGGACGAGGTCACTTATACATGGACGAGGTCACTTATACATGGACGAGGTCACTTATACATGGACGAGGTCACTTTTGGTCAAGTATGGATGAGCTGGAAGCTTAAAAATTAAAAAAACAATAAGTTTGCAAATGATTCAAGCATTAAATTATATGAATGCATTACACTTAGAGCTGCAGTAATATTTGCATTTAGAGCTTTGCAAAATAAATGTAAAACTCTAATTCTAAAGCTACAGTTTAGAAATATATATATATATATATATTGTTGGGGTTTCTTCCAGCAATGCAAACTAAACTATCACTGGGAAGAAAGTTATTAATTTATTGAACATGCTATAGCAGCAGTCAGAGACAGTAATGCATGGATATATAAGGCTTTCTAACACGATTAGTTCACGAAAAACAACAAATTGCTCATTAAGAACAAATCGACAAGGGCCGTGACGAGGATTCGAACCAGCGTCCGGGAGCATACCAGACACTGCCTTAATTGACTGAGTCTAAATCTAAGTAGATTTGTAGATTAATCGTTTCATCCAGTAGATAAATTCTACTACTCATCCAGTAGATAAATCTAAATTGAAGTTCAGTAGAACTTCGGTTTCAACTCTTTTTTTTTTTTAACCCTGTCGTCGTAGCTCAGTCGATTAAGGCAGCGTCTGGGATGCTCCCGGACGCAGGTTCGAATCCTCGTCACGGCCCTTGTGGATTTGTTCATTTGATGCATCACGTTAGTGTGAAATTGCTCATTCCTATCATCAAGGCTCCTCTCTATCCCCTATATTAACTCACCTCATCAATGTATCAGGACGAAAATATGGAAAAAATAATGAGTTATCCCCTCTATAGAGAGCAATGGCTTCCCAAACACACACACACACACACACACACACACAAGATTGATTGATGAAGATTAAGCCACCCAAAAAGGTGGCACGGGCATGAATAGCCCGTAAGTGGTGGCCCTTTTGAGCCATCTGTGGAGGTGCTACTGCACCCTGCGTGACGGGAGATGTCTCCCGTACACACACACACACACACACAACTCCATTCCATGCCTATATATACACACCTTTGTTGATTCTCCTTATTACGGGTTATTCATGCCCGTGCCACCTTTTGGGTGGCTTAATCTTCATCAGATTCTCCATATATTAATGAATTTTTTTCATTGTATTTTTATACCCCACTAATCATTACGGGTTATTCATGCCCGTGCCACCTCTTGGGTGGCTCAATCTTCATCAATCAATCCCACTAATCAAGGTACATCAAGGGGAGAATGGCTACAACATGTCAACACGTTCTCGCACTTTTGTATAGTCAATATTGACTTATTAAATAAGTGCATATGTGACATACTAATTTATTGTGAATATTTTAGTTTACCTTGAAAAGCTTCATAGAAAACACCGACCTTACCTAACCTTCTTAGTATGTTAAGATAAGCATCTTATTGCTTCGTAATTACAATTATTACCTAACCTATTATAGGTATAGGTTAAGTAATTATTGTAATTATGAAGCAATAAGATGCTTATCTTAACATACTAAGAAGGTTAGGTAAGGTCGGTGTTTTCTATGAAGCTTTTCAAGGTAAACTAAATATTCACAATAAATTAGTATGTCACATATGCACTTATTTAAGTATGTCATATGCACAATATGTATGTCACATATTGCACTTTTGTATAGTCAATATTGACTATACAAAAGTGCGAGAACGTGTTAAACATGTACCTATTCTCCCCCTTCTACAAGATGTTCCCCCTGATAAGTTACACCTAATCTCCCCCTTCTACAAGATATCCCCCTTGACAAGCTACACCTATTCCACAGGGCTTCACCTTGTAAGACTGACCTGATGTGGGAGGTGGAGACGGACCTTCCGGGGATATTGGAGGACGCGGAGGAGGCGACACGCTTGAAGACTTCGCGGTTGTCGTGGTTGTGATGGCGTCCACGACCTCCTTGGTCCTTGGTAGGGGTGGCCCGGCCTGGTCCCTCCCTCGTCGTGGTCACTGTAGGTGCCGTAACATCGTCAGAGTCATTGGTGGGTGAGATGGAGGTTCTCGGGATCAAAATGGGGCAAGTAGCACGGGTTATGGTGAGCCCGTAGTGGACTTATCTGGCACAGGAGCGGGGCTGTGACTGGTCTTAGGGCTGTCTGTCTGTCTGTCTGTCTGTCTGTCTGTCTGTCTGTCTGTCTGTCTGTCTGTCTGTCTGTCTGTCTGTCTCTCTCTCTCTCTCTCTCTCTGTCTCTCTGTCTC